TAGCCAAATCTTCTAATCAATAACTTCCATCCAAACATATCTATCTCAGCTGACATACAAAATCCTCTAATTATAGAGCTTTCGGAGTTGAAAGAACTTATAACTAACATTAACCCAAAAAGAGCACCTGGAAAAGACCACATAAATGGGAAAATGATTAAACATTTGTTGCACACAGCGATCATACTCATTCTCACCATTTTCAGCAGCATTTTGGGTACTTTATGATGTGAAAACACTGTTGATGAAAATGATCCTGAAGCCTGAAAAAGATCCTTCAATAAGTCTATAATAAGTCTATAAGTCCAATAAGTCTATTCCGGTCAATCTTGAACATTTTCGAAAAACTTCTAATAAAAAAAATCCTGATTTCCTCACCGATAGAAAACTAAATTCCAGACCATCAATTTGGATTTCGCAAAGAGCATGGAACAATTAAACAGCAGTTTTTCTTGATGCAGCGCAGGCTTTTGATAGAGTGTGGCTTGAAGGATTTTTATTTAAAATAACGCACTCCAAAAAATGTTCATAAACTTCTAAAATCCTACGTGACTCACTGAAAATATAGGGTTAGACACAAATTTTTTACTTCGCAAGAGTACGATGCCAACGCTGGAATTCTTTAGAGTTTTGTCCTTGGGACGCTTCTATACTTAATTTATACAACTGACATTCCACAACACCCAAACAATTTGCTGACAACGTTCGCTGACGACACTGCTATAGTCAGTACCGACCGTGACTGCACTCGGTGAGGTTTAATTGAAGAGTGGCTTGCAAAATGGAGAATCAAAGTGAATGAAACTAAATGCGTTTAAGTACTTACTTATGGTGAGACGTTGGGACAGCGTACTGAAGGATTAGCCGAAGTAGATCACAAAACTACTTGGGTCCTTTTTCGCCCTTCTATTCTTGGATGTTGTTATTGAGTTAAAGCTGGAGTGGCTTCCGTTTGCATAACTACATCTCTTGTTAATGCAAGCAGCTCATTTAGCTTGAAGTTGCCTGCCAAGTCATCACCAACCCAATGGTGTCCCCAGATAGTCTCTCTCTTACTTGCCAGTGCTGGAAAGTGGTACAATATATGCACCGCTGTCTCCTTTTCTTCTAGACATAGTCTGCAAGTGTCTTCCTCAGCAAAATTTATCTTTTTGAGGTGATACTTGAAGTTGTTATGTCCAATTAGTGAGGTCAGCCAGCTTAGGGTGCTCCGCGAATAGCTAAGCACTTTTATCGCTTCCATGACCCACGGTTTCGGCAACATGAGTTTGTTTCGTAACTGTTGTATACTGTTGGTAGTGTGATTACATCCTCTAAGCGGGGGCAGCTAGAAACAGGTCCATAGTATGGTCATGTCTCAACTATGGATACTGGCTAATTGTAATCGGGCAGACGCAAGCAAATGCGTCTTAAATTAATTAAAAAATTAAAGCTCAAATCCAAGGTGGAACAGCATATGCCGAGGGATGTATGGCCAAGGAGAGTTGGTCTTTAATATGCGAACTCTGGATACCTGTCGACTTCCAGTTTTAATTAGACTTCTTATGATAAACGGGCTATGTCGTGGGTGATCTCTCTTCCCGAATTTAAATTATTTTTCTTATGGATGAAAACTTAAATAACAATATAAATGAGCTTGATGTCACTCTGACGACATCACCATCAAATGATTCCTTTACGGAATCTTCACCTGGGTACGTGCCGGCCACTGGGCTGGAAACCACCATCCATCCGGACAGCGCAACCGTGTGCATCCGGATGGGACACCGACTTTTTCTTCGCTCGCGGAAACGGTGATTGTACCAAGTAAAGTTTCGTCGCGATCTCAAGAAAGGCGGCAGAAATTAATAGAAGTTTTGTCTTCAAATTCCGAAGTTGCTGGTTCTTGCGATTTCGACAACGACACTGTGGTCTCTCAGAAGTCCGGTCTAACTGTCGTAGGCTCCAAAGTTAGTAACCTCACTTTGGAGTCTCCTAAATTCACTCACCTCAAAAGAAGTGAGAAAAGAAGGTTCAAGGCGGCAATGGCATCAGGTCTTAGCAGAGCAGTAGCTCTAAAAATCGCCACGCAGTTCTCAACTGCGATTAAGCGGGGCAGATCGGAGGAACAATCTCCCGGTTTGACTACCGCCAAAAAACCCAAGGTGGCTCATGTGGGGCTTGCCAAGCCATCGTACAGCCTAGCTGTTAAAGGCGTACGTTTAAGCTTCACGTCAGCAGATCCAGCTGGCACTTCGCTCTCTACAGAGCAAATAACGCGTCTCCAGGAGGCGATTATTAATGTTGCTATAGAGCAACAATGCGACGATATGCAGCCGGAGTTCGAAGGGTGTTTACCTAGAACGGGGTGGCTACTTATCGTCTGCAGCGATGCAAAAACCGCGGAGTGGATCAAGCGAATTTCAGGTCATATAGGGGCCAAATGGGGGCTTGCCATTAACGTGGTTGAGAAAAAGGATTTCCCACAAACTCATGTAGTTCGTGGCTATATTCCCCAAAGTTTGACTTAGTCAAACGAAAAAGTTTTGGCTACCACTGGTACCCAAAACAAATTCTCCACCAAACGGTGGTGGGTGATTCGCAGACTGTCGTAGGACCAGATGTTGCACCTTGTTTTCGTCATTGATGACGAATCCATGAGGTCGTTGTCCGAACTAAAAGGTAGGATTGCATACCGGTTCAGACACCTGAGACTGATGCTGAGACTGATGCACCCCCGCTCTTTCTCCACCCATGGATAAAGCTCCAAAGGTGGTTCAGGATGACAAAGCCATCCAGTCATCCTCGGCTCCGGCAACATCCCATGCGGACAGTTGCTCCAGGCAAATCTACACCATGCTTAAGGATCATCAGCCACCCTGTGCAGAATTGCCCAAACCAACAACATTGCTTTAGGACTTTTCCAAGAGCCATGGGTGTTCGGTGGCCACATTCGGGGTCTAAACTCAAAATCAGGTAAGCTGGTTTATGACCGATCGATAGCAGTTCCGCGTGCAGCTATCTTAATTGGTGGAGACGTAAAACATATTCCGCTAACTAAATTTATTTTTAGAGCCCTAGTTGCGGTCCTTGTTGAAGTACCCACAATAGGAGGGGTGACAGATATTATCATGGCCTCTGCCTACTTCCCAGGTGAAGAAGATGCGGTTCCACCGTCGGAAGTCCAACAGCTGATTAGCTTCTGCAGGTCTTCGGGGCGGCAGCTAATTCTAGGCTGCGATGCTAATGCTCACCATACGATGTGGGGGAGCAGCAACATCAACAAAAGAGGTGAGTACCTATTAGAATATATTATGTCAGCAGGACTAATTATAGCTAACAAAGGTAGTAAACCCACATTTATCAACGCTATTAGAGAAGAGGTACTAGATCTCACTCTATGCACCAGAGGTATTGAGGAATCTATATGGAATTGGCAGGTGTAGGACGAAGTGTCCCCCTCTGACCATCAACACCACTGTTTCTGGTTCTTCATATGTCAATGATGCTGTTAAAACGCTGCGTAGTAACAAATATTTTGCGGACTTTACGGATGCTTCCCATAAACCGCCAAAGTGTAGAGCACTTGGTGGAATAAAATGAAAGTTTATTCCTGTGGTACTGCAGGCAGAGATTATTGCTTCTTGCCCTGCATTAGAATAAATGTTTTCCTTTAGTTTTGCTAACTGGTTTTTGGCGCCTACGAAGTTTGTTGCGTTATCACTGTAAATATTGAAACAATGCCCTCGTTGACCATTAAATCGTTTTAATGCTACAATGAAAGCATTTCTTGATAAATCGGTCACTAACTCGAGATGTACCGCCTTTGTGGCAAAACAACAAAAGACAGCAATATATGCCTTTGTTGGCCTTTTGCCTTTCACCTTGTAGTGGATCCAAAATGGTCCGCAATAGTTTACCCCAGAATTAATGAAGGGGCTTGCAGAAGTTATTCTTGGTAGTGGCAGATTACCCATAATTGTTAGCATAGTTGCGGACAAAAAAATCACTCCGTAACTTTCGTTGTTTTCTAAATGAAAAACATAAAAAGTATAATCGAGACAGTGACTCTTAAACAAGACTAATAAATGAATAGTGCACGATAAAAATAAAATGTTATTATATTCATTTCTTTTGCAGAAAAAGTGAATTTTGGATTTGTTTTCGAGTTTGTTTACTTTGCTCTAAATCACACACACTTGAAAATATCTAAACAAATTACAAGTCATGAATGTGTATAATTGTGTAATTGTGTAGTTAAAAAAAACAAACTTATGCTAAATAAATAAAATAAATAAACAAATAAATAAAAATAATTAAATACGCGAAAGGACACTTAAACATTTTTTGATAAATTCTTAAGTAAAAATAAGCCAAAATATGTCAATTAATAGATCACCGCCTTCTCATAGTGGAGGCACAAACCACTCAACAAAATACTGCTCAACAGCGGATGGTAGTTCTGAAATGACAGCAACGCTACAAAACCAATCTCAAAGGCAACGCTCATACTCAGTAAGTGAAACTTCTTCCAAGCCATCAACAACTTCAAAAATTAACACATCAGTGAAACAAAATAATGCAGATACACCTATAGTCCGTGGCTTGCATAAATATATACAAATAATTAAAAGAAAACGTAGCCCGAAATCAGAAAATGCTAATAGCGAATCGATTTGCCGTTACAGAGGAAGATGATAAGAATACCCGACCTGTTCCAACCCAGAAACCGCGACATATATTTTTGCGTGAAAAAAACCCAAACGCTCTCATATACTCCCTAACACAAAGTAATGGAAAAGATTCTGTAGTAACTTCGCTAGGTACACACAAATACAGTTCTATATTATTTCGATTCACTTTATTTCTCTAATTACAATACAACACAATAATTATTAATCTTACACAAACGCTTATCTTGCCGCCCTTTTTCTGCCAGCTGCTCTTCTCTTGACCCGTGTTGTACAACGTACGTTTTGAACCAGTGTTGTACTATGTCCGTTTACTACAGCCCTCCCCTTTTAATATTGTTGGTAGTCTTGATGCCAACGTGGCGCATGCCCCTTTGTAGCCCTTTGAGATCGTCTTAACTCTTTGTAACGTGTTATAGTCGATATTTCCTGATTGCTAATAACATCATCATTTGAATAAGTCTGTTGCTCGATAGCAGGGGATAGGATCTCTTTCGGTACATAAGTTCGATCTGGAACAATGACTGGTTCAACTGTATGCGTGAATTCTGGAACTTCAAAGAGTTCATTTAGTATGTTTTTTGTATAACGATACTTCAGCTGATAACGATACTGCAGCAGATATTCCTGCTGTCCATTTATTATTAATTGAATGAAGTTTACAGTAAACGTTATCTCAAATGCTGAACTGCTTTAATTTTGTCTCTTGCTGATTACTTTGTTTTTCTAATTCGCCTTCCGGTTTTTGCTGTTTAATGCAGTCAAGACGAATTTTCATTTTTCTGCCATTTAGGAGCTCAGATGGTATTTCATACCGAGATTGTAGGATGGTGTGTATCGATAACAAGTGAGGAATTCGTTGAGCTTCCTTTGCTTTTTTAAGTCCTGATTTGAGTAGGTCAACGAACCGTTCTGCTTGGCCATTTGATTGTAGACTGTATGGAGCTGTAGATATGTGATTAATTACTAGGAAGTCGCAAAAATTTTTGAATTCCTGCGAGATGAATTGCGGTGCATTATCACTAACAATCATGTCACAAAGGCCGTGTTGCGCAAAAGCTTTCTCAATGAACTCAATAGTTTTTGCTGCAGTAGTAGTTAAAGTTTTGAATATTTCTGGCCATTTGCTAAAAGCGTCTATGATAACAAGGAAGTAATTCCCATCGATTGGACCAGCGTAGTCAAAATAAATTCGTTTCCACGGCGCAGAAGGAATTTTCCACTGTTGAGTAGTACATTTCATTGGACTTTTTGAGGCTGTAGCGCATGTGTCACAAGTTTTGACCACATGTTCGATATCAAGATTAATGTTTGGCCAAAAAACATTGGTAGCAGCAAGAAGTTTCATATGACACTCACCTGGATGTCCATTGTGGAGATCTTCAAGGACTTGCTGGTGGTAAATTTTGGGAATAACAATTCTCTCACCAAAGAAAATACTCTGTTGTTGGATCGTAAGATGATGTCGATGCTGGAAAAATTCCGCTACTTCATTATCTGTGATTTGTTTTCTCTTTTGAGGCTAGCAGTCATTTTGGATATAGAACGTGACCTTATTGAGGGTATGGCAGGTTTTGGTTGCTGGTTGAATATTAGTAAAAGTGATTGGAAGTTTGGTAGCTGTTTTGACTGCAAAACAATTGATTTGCAGGTCCTCATCTTCTTCTAATGGAAAAGATGCTATGACGGTATCTTCATCGGGTTTTACATGGTTTGCGATTAGTCGCGAAATAATATTGGCATATCCAAAGCTGTCAGTATTTATGTATTCAATAAAGAAATCGTATGACAGAATAGTGGTTGCATAACGTTGCAGGCGAGCCGCTGTAAACAACGGGATGCCATTTTTCGGGTTAAATATAGCAAGAAGTGGCTTGTGGTCGATATGAATGGTAAAACGACGACCAGAAATGTGATAGTGACATTTTTTTAATCCAAACACGAGAGCTCGAGCCACCTTGTGCATTTGAGGTTACTTCCGCTTTGCTGCATTGAATGTAGCTGAGTAGTGCATAATTGGGTGGAGCGTTCCGTCATTAAATTGATGCAATAGAACTGCACCCATACCGTATTCTGAAGCATCAGTAGCTAATTATTTTCTTTGCTGGATCGAAGTGCGTGAAAAATAGATCAGAAGTTAATACATTTTTAATCTTGTTGAATGCTTCATTATGGTGTTGTTTCCACTCAAACTTCTTATATTTTTTTAAAAGTTCAACTAAAGGACCCCTACGTGGTAGGCACCTTGACGTGGTGTAGGGGCTTAGATACAACTTGAGCTATTCTGATCTATGTTCCAGTCAGTGTTAGTACTGATGTCACTGACTGGAATATTGATTGAGATTAGAGCAAGAAGTGCAACCAAGATCTACCTGTAGGTTAAGGTAGAATGTGTTGTTTTGTAATCTATGTCTGTAGTTTTAGTAGTTAGTTATAAATTTGTAGTTAATTTGTTGTTTGTAGTTTGTAGTTTTTGTATTAGTTAGTCTGTAGATAGGCTCTTTGTTTTTGCAAGCTGGCAAGGTCTGAATGGCTTAACAATACTCTAGCGTCTCAGGGGGTAGGTGGTGGTAAAGATCGCCCACTAAGTTCCAGCTTATCAGCCAGACTCGTCAGGGTAAGTGCGACAATCTCTCAGGCTGATGGGAAGCTCTTGGTATGGCCATGTCTCTGACAAGGGGAACTGCTGATTGTCGGGCTGGGAAGAGATAATTTCCCGGGTACGTATTTCTAGTAATTATTGTTTTAATATGTGTAACTATCAAGTCTGTACGATACCCGAAAAAAACCCCAAGTCTGAGGTAGACTGTTACGATGAGGATGCTTGGTTGGAGGGGTGCATCCAGTCTTTTAGTAATGAACTCAGAATACCGGGCGCTCTCCTGTTTTAATTAATGCCTTCTCAAAGTATGGGGCTCTGCTTTGGGTGACTGTTTTTCCCCTTCTATTAAACACTATATATGGAAAAAAATTTAAATTTACCTATTAACAATATAATAACAAAGTCAGAGGAAAAAGCTCTACTCCGTTCGCCAATGAAGGTTGGAGGAAATCTTGAAAAGAAGCTTGAAGCATCACTCAAGATTCAGGATCCGGATGATCTGAACCCATCTGCTCAGAGACTAATGGTATCAAGCTGTGGGAACACCTCTCCGGTGATTGGCACCCAGAGTCCTATGGACACAGGCGGTGCGTCTAATACTAACACCCAGAGCATGGTGAACTCAGGTGACGGCAACATAGAGACCAGGAAGAAAGCGGAATACCTCACCGGGGCATAGAAAAGACGCATCAAGGCCATGATTATGGATGGATTGGATTTGGAGACTACGAAGCAGAAAGAGAGAGAGCGATACTCTCTCTACAAAGCTTCCTTGGCAGCAGAAGGAGAAAGTGACAGACCCAGTAGCAGCAAAAGGTGCAGATCTAACAACACATCTCCCGAAGTAACACAACGCCCGCAGCTCAAAAAGCCAAAAGCCATTCAACAAACATCTAGCTCTATCGGAAACCAGCTGAAACCGACTCCATCTTACAGGGATGTAGCCAATGCTTGCAAAGTAGCTATCGCCCATGAGAAATATCCGGAGGTGAATCTCACTGGTGATCAAATAGAGTTGATAAAATCTAAGCTTCTGGAAGAAATTGACAAACTTCCTAAACACAATAGTGTCTACGGCTTCATTACCAGTGTTAACAGACGCGGATGGCTTTTATTAACATGCTGCAATGGTGAAACGAGGGACTGGCTGACCACCTGTGTCCCAAAACTCAAACCATTCCTGGCGAATGGTGTTTCAGGGCGAAAAGATGCCCAAAACCTATGTGTGCATCACATTTATTCCCCCTCTGCTGTGCTACCACCAGAAATTCTGATGTCCCACTTGGAGAAACAAAATGGTGACATTTGACATCATCGTGGAGAATTCTCAGGACTGAGAAATCCAAAAATTGGATAGTCGGCCAGGCAGGGAAGCTGTATCTGAACTTCACACAAAATCACGTACGGGTGAAGGGAGAGCCAACTGGACCCAAGAATCTGACGACTAAAAGGCTGTTTACGACAGAGAAACCCAGTGACGTCAAGTAACAGGTGCCTCCATCCAAAAGGCCGCTTTCAGGTGATAGACCCAGTACCTCAAAAGCACAGCCAGATAAGCGAAGTGAGACGGTAAAGGTTGCACGGGACAGCACCCGAACAGAAGTCGGACCCAGCACCTCAAAACAGCAAGGTGGTACACCGGTAACTAGTATAAAGGACCAGAAGCAAGGGCCAAAGAAACCAGATTCAAGATCCCCTCGACACGAAGCACCCACTCATGGGACAAAATTGCCCAAGTGGTTGCGGAACGGCAAGGGACGATACTAATAAAATTATGAGGTGCCTGCAGGTTAATCTTCAACACGCCAAAGCTGCTAAGGCGGTGTTGACACAGCGACTTCTATCTGAAAAGATTGACCTAGCCTTTATTCAGGAGCCATATGTATATGAGAACCAGATAAAGGGAATAAAAGGTAAGCTACTGTACGATCATGCCAGCCATGGTCGACCTCGTGCTTGTATTGTGGTAAGGGATGGCATTAATGCTTTCATTATTCCACAGCACACCAACAAAGACCAGGTAGCAGCTATAATTTCTGTGAACACCTCAGTAAGTAAGAAATGAGTAAGAGCTCATTGTCTGCTCATCTTACCTACCTGGAGACTCCCAAGTCCTGGACTTCATATCACTGAAAGGACTAGTAGACTACAGTGTTAAAAGCAAGAGGCAACTCATCGTTGAAAGTGACGCTAATGCACATCATACGATCTGGGGCAGCACCGACATCAATAAAAGAGGTGAGTGTCTATTTGAATTTATAACTGGTAACAACCTAAATATTTTGAATACGGGCAATAAGCCCACTTTTATAAACAGAATCAGGGAAGAGGTATTAGACATCACCCTAGCTACACAACTTATAATACACAACTTATCAAAAACTGGAATGTTTCAGCAGAAACATCCATGTCTAATCATTGTCAGATTTGATGTTGATCTAAATATGAAAGTAAAGGAATAGTATAGGGTACCTAGGGCCACAGAGTGGGATCTTTATACCGACGAACTCAAGGCCAATCTAGGCAGTAATAAACATACGATAAACAACATTCATGATTTAGAAATAGCTGATGCTGCCTTAAGCACAACTATTATAAATACCCACCATGAAAAATAAGACCGGCAACAGAAGTGCACCATGGTCGAATAAAACGTTAGCCAAGCTAAGAGTCAAATCCCGGAGACTCTTCAACAAGGCAAAAACCAACGGTGAATTGGACAATTATAAAAATGCCCTCACCGCCTACAATAAAGAAATTAGAAGGGCAAAAAGAGAATCATGGAGAGGCTTTGGCTTAGAGATTCAAAACTTAAGCAGTAGCGCAAAAATCCGCAGGGTCATATCGAAAAGCCACACTTATCCCATTGGGCTTCTGAAACGACCTGCTTAGTTCCCTGGTGGCCAAAAGGCCCAGACACAATGACTGGAAGACTGCTCGTAAAATCTTCACTGAAGATAAAATTAAATGGGCGATCAACTCATTTTCTCCTTTCAAAGCCCCTGGAGTCCCTGGAGTGCTGGAAATATTCCGTCTGATATTTCCAGCACTCCTACAAAAGGGACTAACTCACCTTATGCCCTACCTCATTAATATCTTTAGAGCTGGGCTAGCGATGGGAATTATTCCCACTAATTGGAAGGAAGCAATTGTCAAATACATACCTAAAGGAGGAGGTAAACCTAGCGAACTTCCTAAATCCCATAGGCCTATAAGTTTGACTATATTTCTTTTAAAAACTATGGAGAAGATAGTGGAAAGGCATATAAGGGAAGAGTATTTATCTATAAATCCACTCCACGCCAACCAGTACGCCTACCAACAAAATAAATCCACCACACATGCATTACTCACTCTTACTAATAAAATACAGGAGTCTGTAGATTGCAAAGAATTTGCGGTGGGATGCTTTCTTGATATTGAGGGAGCGTTTGACAATACTGATCACTCATATATCGAAAGATACCTCCATGACAGAGGAGTAGATGATACGACACGCATATGGATAAGCAATTTCTTAAGAAAGAGGGTGGTTAAATCTACTCTCGGCAATGCCGAAATAAAAGCACATACTGCAGGAGGATGCCCACAAGGGGGTGTATTATTCCCATTCCTGTGGTCAATTGCAGTGGACGAGCTCTTGCATCGACTCAGTGCCACACATTTCGAGGCACAAGGGCATGCTGACGATATAGTCATACTTGTCAGGGGTAAATATGACGACATGATCTCATATCGGCTCCAGC